GCCTCCCCCCGGCGCCGCCTGCCGTCCTCCCCCCGCGAGCAGGCGGTACGGTCCGGCCACGGCCACGTCCCTGCCGAGGCGCCGGGCCTGATCTTTAAGCTTAGAGGGGCGGCCTGGGACATCCCTGCAGGGAAGGTGCTCCTTGTTTAAGCGAGCAGGTAGTGAATCCCCTGTGTAGACGAAGCTAAGGAGAAGGAGGGCCCACACATAGCCAGCACCAGTCCCCTAAAATTGTTCAAAAAGTTTAAAAGAAAGAAGGCAGTATGTGTTGCCATTAATTTCAGATGTGATCAGCAAAAGTGATCAGCGTATGGTAGGAACTGACATGGTGTGGAAGAAAGGTTATGACAACATTGCACGGCTACCCAAAAGGTGTGTGACTAGACTGAAGGCAGGTGCTCCTAGCTGTAACTGTGCCCTAGAATTTACAGTGTGCACAATGTTCTTGCCAACTAAATATAATTTATTGGCTATGATGTAGTCCTGGAAACTTCCTTGGTTGGGCTGACCCTTCCCAGCAACTCCTCTGCATCTGACTCAGCATTACAACTAGTAACAGAGACTCTCTATGCTGCCTTCAAATGTGTCACTCCTAAGCAGGCCAGAAAATACAAATCAGTCTTCTAAAGATTTTTTTTGTGTGTCTTATCTTCACCTAAGAAAAATGTAACTGTAAATAGCACGTTGTGCTTTCAAGCTGTCATTGTTTTGGGGGAGGGCATCTTGCAAAGAATTTAAAACAAATTTGTTTAACTAACTGCTGAAATACCTTTTCTTCTTTCAAGTAGCTGTCTTATGAAAGGCAGAGGTGAGGAAAAGAGGGAGAATAATACCTAGTCTATAACCCCAGTTAAAAGTAGTTTCAACTTTTTGTTGTGTTAAAAGGTTTCATCATGTTTAATGGAATAATAAGATACAGTTAAAAGGGATCTCTGCAGGTTATGTAGTCCAGTCTTCCGCTCAAAGCAGGGCTAATGCCAAAGCTAGACCATGGTGCTCAGGGTTTGGACCACTGGGGTCTGAAAATTCACAGATGAAAATTCTGCAGCCTCCTTGGACAGCCCATTGCTGTGCTTAACTGCAATCACAGAGAGTATCTTTTTTCCTCATGTCTGAAATTGAAATTTCTCTTGATTTCACGTGTGACTGTCTCATCTTGTCCTTTGCCCTGGTCCTCTGTACCTCTGAGGAGGGTCTAGTTCTCTTTAACCTCCAATCAGATAGCTGAAGGTAGCAATCTGATGTCCCCACTTAGCCTTCACTTCTGAGAACAAGCACAACAATCCCAGATCCCTGTGCCTCCTCCTATGCCATGTGTTCCAAGCCCCTTCCTTTCCTTTTCTTTGTTTGCTGTACCCATCTGATGTGTTTTGGCTTTTACAGAGAATGTGGGGGACTGTTGGGACAGGCGTTACATAGCATGAAGGGGGGATGCTGCTTTTAAGTTAATAATGACTAGTAACAGTGCCAGATACCCTTAAGAAATGGTCCTTAACAAGATGTGTGAGAGATTCTCAGCTGAAGACAGAACAAAATTCTATACCTGAATTTAAAATACAGCAATATTAAAAATGTTAGCAACTTCACTGAGATTCCCTTTTTTGTCAAGTATAAAGACATTGCTGTGTAGCAGTTCCCCATTCTTATAAGAATGCTTTGCTGTTCTGATGTGCCTACGGGTTATAAGTGACATAAGGTAAGCATCACCAGAGGATGCAGAAAGCAGTGTGATTCTTATTTTGCTTATGGGTATGCTGGGATGTGGAGAAATTACAGGGCCTGCTAAGTTCTAAATGAGCAATTCTCAAACTGAAAAGGGATCTGCGGACTCAGATCACGTTTTGCAGGAGTGCAAGAAGCCCCATGGAAACTTACTCTGGTCTTTTTGGTTTTGTTTCCTCTTCTGTGCTCTCTATGCTCACACTTCATAAGGTCCCTCTAAAAATTCTGTTTTTTTTCATCATACCTGTAAGACCGAAGGACTGAGGTGGAGAGCAGGTAAGACACAAAACTCTTACGGAAAAGGGAATTTAATAAAAATGTTAAAAACAACTGAATTCCAGCTGAGTTTTCATAATAACTGTTTGCATTTTTGTTCCTTTATTAAAAAATGTACTTTAAAATGTGGCATTAATATCTCCTCCAGTTGATCTGTGCTAGACAAATGTTTTCAGTGTACTACAATGTGCTAAGTAAATTCCTTTTAGCAGTAACATGCATAACTGTTTTGCTTATGATGCTTTAAGTGTTATGGAGCAAGAGAAAAATGGGTTGTTAGAAAAAACAAACTGGAAAGGCAAATAGAAACAAAGGTAGGGTACTGTACTAGAAAATACCAATGCTCTTCCAACACAATACGAAGAACACACAATATTGGGTAATGCTCCTTCTTGTTTCCAGAAAAGCCTGAAACTAAGAACAAGGAAGGAATACTGTAACCTGAAGGAGCTAGCCTAGAGAGGAAGGTTAAAGGAGGATCACATGACCTGCTCAAGGAGCTTCTGCTGGAGATGAGAAAAAGCAGAAAAATGCAGCGGGACTATCCCGTGGAGGACCAAGAGATGACTGCCTTCCTACCTTGCAAGTTTTGAAAGTAGTGGTGTCCTAGATATCAGAACCAAAGCACATGCAGTAGTAGCCAGTTTGCTCAGGCTGCTCTGCCTCTAGCTGTAGATTATCATGAAATACCAGAGCTGACATCTAAAGTCACAGGCCACAGGACACACCTGGGCTGGGAGAGGAATTGCACCCCTAGACCACATGCAGACTGGCAGGCTGCGTATTCTGCCCACTGAGGGTTGCATTCTGAAAAGAACTAGAAGAAAACAGCATGTAACAGCATTGTTTCCTTTCTATTGTCCTCCATTCTTCATTTTCCCTTTTTGCACCCAAATTTTTTGTCTACCTTTATTTTCCAGTTAATTAGTATCTTTGCTTCTCCACTGTCCTGGTTTTGGCTGGCATAGAATTAATTTTCTTCCTAGTAGCTGGTACAGTGCTGCATTTTGGATTTAGGGTGAGAACAATGTTGATCACACGCCGATGTTTTAGTTGTTGCTAAGTGGTGCTTACACTAGTCAAGGACTTTTCAGCTTCTCATGCCCTGCCAGCGAGGAGCTGGGAGGGGGCACAGCCAGGACAGCTGACCCAAACTGGCCAAAGGGATATTCCATACCATGTGATGTCATGCTCAGTATATAAACTGGGGGAGTTAGCTGGGGGGTGAGACTGCTGCTCGGGAAGTGGGTGGGCATCAGTTGGCGGATGGTGAGCAATTGCATTGTGCATCACTTGCTTTGTATATTCTTTTATCATTATTATTTTCCCTTCCTTTTCTGTCCTATTAAACTCTCTTTATCTCAACCCACTAATTTTACCTTTTTTTTTTTTCTGATTCTCTCCCCCATCCCACTGGGGGCAAGGAGTGAGTGAACGGCTGTGTGGTGTTTAGCTGCCTGCCAGGTTAAACCACAACATCCACTTTGATGTTTTAAGCTATTTAGTCTGATTTTAGGATCAGAATGGCCTAGGGACTAGACATGCTCACTGACTTCTTTATCTGTCTTCCACACAGTATGTCTTTTCACCCTGAGCTGTGGTCCACGCCTATTATCCATCCAGAGTTAAAGGTTAGCCTCTGGCTTTAGCACAGGTGCATACTTCCTCCAACAATCTGCTTAACTTGGAGTTTGAGTGGATGATCATGCCCAAAGGATGTGTAAACGTGTTACCTGGATCAGCTGGTTAAGCCTGTTTGAGTTCAGTGTTGCTTTAAGTGAACCATGCAGTCATGCCCTATAGCATGTGCTGTGCTTTACTGCATGCTTGTCCTTTATGTATAACAAGGTACAAGCTATTGCCATTAAATTAATGATTACCTGCAAAGTCTTAAATCAGAAAATTATTTGAGTAAAGTACTGTAACGTTAGGAAAAGCCTACCGCAGATTTTTCTGCCAGCTTACCACAGATCTCTATACAGAAAGTAACCACATGACCACCAACTTTTCTTTTTCCACAGGTTTCCTACCTCCTCTGCAGGGTTCAGGGAACCTCACCATGGTTTAGTTACCACACTTCATCCCAATCTTCTACTGAATGCATCTTATTAATTATTATAATTTCTTGTGCATCACTACATGTGCAGCCCTTTCTATGGTGCTTCTCATTTAATAAAAAAACCCACAAACCCTACCAGATTATTTTCAGATCTTTGTGGTTATCTTTCCTTAACAATCAGGGAACTGAGACAAACATGGATTTAAACCTAAATTTTCATGAACTTTGTGTGGGTGATATGCTGTACCTAAACCTTGCTTCAAAATATTTTAACTATTTATGTTTCTCAGCATGGGTTACATAGTATATCCACCATCCATCTGAGATATAGGTCTGTGTGAGCTCTCCCTCTCACCTCGTTTCCCATGTAACACACTAACTGAGCAGAGCAGGGGAGTAGTGCTTGCATTGTCTCCTTGTAGCTTTTGTGGAAATATGACCCAAAACACCAGCTTGCAGCATCTGTGGGTGCTGAACTCATATTGCTCACGAAAGTTGAGTCAGTGCTTTTCAGCCCAGTTCCCCACTACCTCCGTTAGCTATCCTTTGTTGGAGATTTTAGTATAGAAACTGTTTATTGAAGGGCTGAGCGGAATTAATGCCGTTTTCTGATGAAAGAAAGCTGATGAGGCAAGTCTTAGACCAGCTCACTTGGTTGCAGACTCTCCAGGCTCTGCCTCAGTCTTTATTCTAATTAACATAAGCTGCAAACACATTTACTGAGCTCTGGGTTTGGCTGGTTCTTGGCTTCTGAGCGTGTCCTCCTATTCAATGCAATTCTATCCTCCACATTGGTCAGCTTCTCCAAGCAAAACTTTCTCCATCCTCAACTGTTGCTTTTCCTATGCAATCTAGCTCCTCTTCTGAGACTGCCTTCTGACTGCGTGAACAGCTGACTTTTTTTTTTTATTTTCTGCTACCTTCTCTCCTTGTCCCAGTGCAAACAAACAACAAGCATTATTTTCCAGATACGTTATTGTGGCCTTTCTGACTGACTGCCAAGGTTGACTGACAAGCAAAGATTAAAAACCCGTTTGACTACATCGCTGGGTGATTCTGCAGGCTGCTTGGAGCTGTGAGGTGTTGCGGCTACTAGGTAAGCTTCTTGGTGCTATACCTGGCCCTCCTACTATCCTAATTGCCCTTGCAGCTTGACAAGAGGCATTGCCAACTTTGCCCTCAACATATCTGTGCACGCAAGTTCCCTGGAGGGGCCTACATACAGATTTATCTCTGGGGAAATACTATAACCTGAATGTGCCGGCTTTAACTAAACTTGCTTTGCAGAAGCTAATGGGTGAAAGGAGCACACGGTATTTTAGCGAAGAAATTAGAAAACGTACAACAAGGTTCCAGGTGAGAAAAAAGAAACCACAATGATACACAGTTCCAAATCCCACTTAAGAACACATTTTTTCTTACATTTCTATTCTGGCTAACCTAGAGTCTTTCAGCAATGTCTCAAAAATGGAGCAAGCAGAAATGTTCAAATGTGTCTCTTCTCACTCTCCTGTCCTGGGTGCTTGGGAGCACTGTCTATAAACTTTCATTATGCTCTTCAGTTAGTACATTTCTCCTATGTTAAGCAGCTTATTAGCCAAGAGTGTTTCATAACTTAGGTAACATTTGACACATTTACTTTTTCCTTGTATCAGGTTTTTTTTCGCAGAAAGAATGAATGGGCTAATAGTAGCACAGATGACATAAGGTGTCAAAGTGCATTTTCTAAAACACTTTTTTTTCTCCTTATCAGTTGTAGGAGCTCCTGATACCACATCTGCATGGGGGAGGAAAAAAAATACCCGGAAAAAAAAAAAGATGTAGCAGAGCAGGGAAAAACACTAGCAGGAAGAGTACCCTGATACCTGAAAGGGATGCAGATCATGTAACTTTTACAGAACCTCGTAAGTCTACCCTTTCTGGTAGAAACGGAAGTCTCTGGAACCCTGAGCAATGGGATTTACCAATTTGCACTCAGACCTTTCCATCTGTCCCTGTGTCTAGCCATGTTTATAGTATTGTTAGTGCTTGACTTCCCTTCCTTTGCCAAGGTACTTCTGTAAGTCAACATTGATATGAGCCACCATCATCTCAAATATCACAGCAATAAAGGTAGCGGGGCAAAAGTCATTGTCAAATACCACTGCGTGGAGTTTGCAGAAGCGAGGCACCAAGATATGTAAATGTGCTACTGTAGCCATATGTTTGGGTTAATACCTAGACTGTAGCCTTCATTGTACTAGCCTGATTACCTTGTATAAACGATGCATGCCTTACAACAACTATGCCCTTGACTGCGGCAACTAGGGGAAAGGTAAAGGCGGCAGGGGGAGATTGCAACCACCAACTCGATTCAAGACTGGAAAGACTTGCCCCCACACACCTGCAAGGAGCATGCGTGCTAATTTACATGGCAAGCGAGGCTAATTTGAACACAACTAACCAATGAGCATGAACTTAGGCGGGTTTTTACTAATCATGTAACAATATAAATACGCTGTAGTTCTTTTGTGTGGGGTGCTAGCTTTGTGGAATTGCCACCTAGCACCCATCTTTGCGCAAACATGAGATAAATAAATATCTCCGCTCTGTGTGTAAGATTGGCTTATTGCACAGCGGGTACCGGACCCCGCTTGTGGGACAACCCTACTTCTACTAAGATTGTGCTCTAAAGCCTTCTTATGATATTGCTCCTTCTATACTTGGTTGAATGCCCTTCCCTTGTACTTCTGGAGCTATCATGGAGTCTCTTATTCTTTAACTTTGGAAAGGAGGCAAAGGATACATTTCTCACTTTCTGACCCTAACAGTTAAAAACTGAGCTGTGAATATACATACTTTTTGTGTCTTCAGGGTAACACTGGGCTGGTGTCTTTGTTAGCTCCTTTTATTCAAATGAGCCTGTAAGCACACTGAGTTAAAGTGCTTCATTTCTCAGCACAGCCAGGGCCAAAACTTCTCTGGATTGTATTTCTCTGTGTTGTATTTCTCTATATTTTTCCTTTGCTACTAATCTTTTTCTTCTAAAAAGATTGAAATTTGAACTGGGGAGTTGAATTGACTCGGTACAAGGCCTGGTGGAATGCCAGAGGTAGAGCAGCAGAGGGAAGCATAAAATACGACATCCTTCTTTTGGTGCTTTCAGCAAGTTATGCTGTGTAAATTCATTACAAACAATTAAGCTGCTCCAGGCTGGTGCAGCTATCGTCCCATCCTCCCGATCATCTGTTCTTATCCTCTCTCATCTGCTGATACTGACCTAGCTGGTTTTGCTGGTTCTGGTAGCTAAAGTAGAAAACTATTCACTGCTTTATACATCAATTTTTATACCGGTTCTGGCCCCCGTAGCTCCCTGTGTTGCAGTGCAGAGGAGGATGGGACTGCAGCAATGGCAACCTCGGTGAAATTGCCGTGGAAGTGCGATCTGAGGGAGCTCGGGTACTTTGGCGAGGAAGGGGCGGGGAGGCGACACGGCGAGAAATGCTTTAAATACTCACTTCTAACTGAAATCAAAGGCGGCGGCCGCGGCAGCAGCAGCTACCGGCCTGCAGCGGGGGGGGCAGATCCGCCTCAGCAACTGCAGCGGAGAGCGCAGCGATACCCTCTGCCGGCCGCAGCTGCGGCAGAGATGATTTCCCGTGAATGCCAACCCGGAGACGCTTTCGTTTGGTGCATCCTCCTCATCCTCGCGGCAGTTAAAAACGTTTGCTGTGCTTGGTTGTTCACAGTGCGAGGTTTAAGTCTCTCCAAGCACTATCCTTCGTGACTTCAGCCCGAAGCCTCGATGGCGACGAAAATAAATCAACGGAAATCTACTGCTGGAGGCTTCGTACTCCTCTCCAAAGCCCGTGAATTTCAAAATGCGTCCCCCGTCCGAGGCGAATTTAACGCGCGCACGAAGGCGGTGAAGCAAAGCCCCACCTAGGGGAAGCCTGACTACCTCGCGCGCACCCGCGGGGCTCGCCGTGGCGGGGAA